CTCAAAAGGACTCCTCTTTCGCCGACAATAGTGTTGTCTCTGAAGGGAAGGGAATCTAAATCCTTATCCAACGCACAAACGGCTATCACTTCTCGAAACCGCTTTTCATTGTATTGTTTTCCGAACACAATATTCTGTACAACACTTGCGTTGAAAACCCACGACTCCTGCGATACATAACCTATGGATCCGTTCGTTGTGACCGAACCTCCAGTTATGGACAACTCATTCAACAGTGACATCAGGAAAGTTGTCTGAATTGTAATATTAAGTATAATTATTGTATATCTCCATAATAATAATTAAAACAATGATAATAACATACCTTTCCGGCGCCTACGGGTCCGATAACCACAATTAAATCTCCGGATTTTGCATTCATTGATATGTTTTTTATTGTCGATTCTGTCGATTCCTAACACAATAATAAGACTGTGTTTTTAAAAATTATTAAATTCTGATAAAACACTCACTGATTTCCAATTCGCTGACATTTCATTTACAACTATACAATAATTATCACACTTTTCAATATTATTATTATTTTGAATGTAATTCATTTGATTATTTCTATCGATCATTAATAGTGTATTTTCATCGCTATCATTGACTTTATTATTGTTTTGGTTGATTTCATCCAATAGTAAGAAATTCTGAATTATTAAAAATTTCATAAATTAGTTAATATTAAATATTCTTAATTTATAAATATCAACCTGGAAGCGTTTACAAGAAACGTTTATCTCAGCTAACAATCCAACCAATCTGGGAATTCCAGTCAAAAAAGTCAGACTCAAGCGGGCAAATATGATCATGGTTATAAATATGGGTTCAGCCGACACCTGACCGCCTAATAGTATGTAAACTATTATAACTATAAAATAAACTAATTTTTGACCAAAACTAAAGATGCAAACACTCATCGCTTTTAAATATAACAATGATTTCATTTTCATCATTTCATTTCTATAGTAATTGAAAGAAAATTTAATGAATCCTGTGTTATATAATATAGACATACCTTCGGGCGCGACCAATAGCCCGGGCGAAGGGCTGCTCCCAGGCGTACATTTTGATTAATTTCATGGCTTTTATTATTTCATTCATTAGACGTATTCTGTAATCCGAAAGTCGACTAACTTTTTGCCTAAATATTTAAATTAGTCTTGAAATTAATCTTAAAATTATTCTCTCTCTCTCTCTCTCTCTCTCTCTCTCTCT